TCAGAATATAGCCGTCTGCAGCTCTCGCTTAAACATCCCCTCGAAGCTGAGGTCGCCCCCCATCAGTTCTTCTTCAAGGTCGTCCAAGGCCCACTGATGATCCGTCAGCTCCAGAGCCTCCCACTCCGTCTGGGCAGAAAGAGGACCAGAGAACACGTGACACCAGGGGGGGGGGGGGAATACAGTGTGTAGTATAGAGTGTGGTGGACGTTGCACAGTGTATTGTGTAGTATACGGGGCATGGTGGGTAGTGCAGTGTGTAGTATATGGGGTGTGAAGGTAGTGAAGGGTAGTGCAGTGTGTAGTATATGGGGTGTGAAGGGTAGGGCAGTGTGTAGTATACGGGTTTGTTGGATGAAGGGTAGGGCAGTGTGTAGTATACGGGGTGTGATGGGTAGTGCAGTGTGTAGTATACGGGGCGTGGTGGATGAAGGGTAGTGCAGTGTGTAGTATACGGGGCGTGTTGGATGAAGGGTAGTGCAGTGTGTAGTATACGGGGCGTGGTGGATGAAGGGTAGTGCAGTGTGTAGTATACGGGGCGTGTTGGATGAAGGGTAGTGCAGTGTGTAGTATACGGGGAGTGTGGTGGAGGTTGGGTAGTGCAGTGTGTAGTATACGGGGCGTGTTGGATGAAGGGTACTGCAGTGTGTAGTATACGGGGTGTGGTGGAGGTTGGGTAGTGCAGTGTGTAGTATACGGGGCGTTTTGGATGAAGGGTAGTGCAGTGTGTAGTATACGGGGCGTGTTGGATGAAGGGTAGTGCAGTGTGTAGTATACGGGGCGTGTTGGATGAAGGGTAGTGCAGTGTGTAGTATACGGGGCGTGGTGGAGGTTGGGTACTGCAGTGTGTAGTATACGGGGCGTGTTGGATGAAGGGTAGTGCAGTGTGTAGTATACGGGGGCGTGTTGGATGAAGGGTAGTGCAGTGTGTAGTATACGGGGCGTGTTGGATGAAGGGTAGTGCAGTGTGTAGTATACGGGGCGTGTTGGATGAAGGGTAGTGCAGTGTGTAGTATACGGGGGTGTGTTGGATGAAGGGTAGTGCAGTGAGTAGTATACGGGGTGTGTTGGATGAAGGGTAGTGCAGTGTGTAGTATACGGGGCGTGTTGGATGAAGGGTAGTGCAGTAGGCAGTATACAGGGTGTGGTGAAGGGTAGTGCAGTGGGCAGTATACAGGGTGTGTTGGATGAAGGGTAGTGCAGTGGGCAGTATACGGGGTGTGTTGGATGAAGGGTAGTGCAGTGTGTAGTATACGGGGCGTGTTGGATGAAGGGTAGTGCAGTGTGTAGTATACGGGGCGTGTTGGATGAAGGGTAGTGCAGTGTGTAGTATACGGGGTGTGTTGGATGAAGGGTAGTGCAGTGTGTAGTATACGGGGCGTGTTGGATGAAGGGAAGTGCAGTGTGTAGTATACGGGGCGTGTTGGATGAAGGGTAGTGCAGTGTGTAGTATACGGGGCGTGGTGGATGAAGGGTAGTGCAGTGTGTAGTGGATGAAGGGTAGTGCAGTGTGTAGTATACGGGGTGTGTTGGATGAAGGGTAGTGCAGTGTGTAGTATACGGGGCGTGTTGGATGAAGGGTAGTGCAGTGTGTAGTATACGGGGCGTGTTGGATGAAGGGTAGTGCAGTGTGTAGTATATGAAGGGGGCAGTGTGTGTGTTGGATGAAGGGTAGTGCAGTGTGTAGTATACGGGGTGTGTTGGATGAAGGGTAGTGCAGTGTGTAGTATACGGGGTGTGTTGGATGAAGGGTAGTGCAGTGTGTAGTATACGGGGCGTGTTGGATGAAGGGTAGTGCAGTGTGTAGTATACGGGGCGTGTTGGATGAAGGGTAGTGCAGTGTGTAGTATACGGGGTGTGTTGGATGAAGGGTAGTGCAGTGTGTCGTATACGGGGTGTGTTGGATGAAGGGTAGTGCAGTGTGTAGTATACGGGGCGTGTTGGATGAAGGGTAGTGCAGTGTGTAGTATACGGGGCGTGTTGGATGAAGGGTAGTGCAGTAGGCAGTATACGGGGCGTGTTGGATGAAGGGTAGTGCAGTGTGTGTAGTATACGGGGGCGTGTTGGATGAAGGGTAGTGCAGTAGGCAGTATACAGGGTATGGTGGGCAGTTCAATGTGCAGTAGGAATAGTGACAACACCGGGACAGCGATGACGTCACATCGATTGTGATTTTACCTTGAAAGCTTTGTTGGTATCGGCCGGCATTGCCATGGCAGCTCCGGTCATCTGTTCCTGCATGACACGGGATTGGTCAGCGGCTGGAACATCAAATACACAAAATCAGTAAAGGAACCCCCAGAATGCTGAGCGACACAGTGGGTATAAAAAGTCTTCACACCCCTGTTAAAATGTCAGGTTTCTGTGATTTCAAAAAATGAGACAAAGATAAATAATTTCAGAACTTTTTCCACCTTTAATGTGACCGATAAACTGTACAACTCAGTTGAGCAACAAACTGAAATCTTTTGGGGGGGGGGAGTAAACATAAAAAACGAAAATAATGTGGTTGCATAAGTGTGCACGCCCTCTTAAAACTGGGAATGTAGCTGTGTTCAGAATGAAGCAATCACATTCACAATCATGTTACATAGGAGTCAGTACACACCTGCCATCATTTAAAGTGCCTCTGATGAACCCCAAATAAAGCTCAACTGTTCTAGTCGGTCTTTCCTGACATTTTCTTAGTCGCATCGTACAGCAAAAGCCATGGTCTGCAGAGAGCTTTTAAAGCATCAGAGGGATCTCATTGTTAAAAGGTATCAGTCAGGAGAAGGGGACAAAAGAATTTCCGAGGTATTAGATATCCCATGGAGCACAGTGAAGACAGTCATCACCAAGTGGAGAGAATATGGTGCACAGTGACACCACCAACAGTGACACCACCAACAGTGACATCACCAACAGTGACATCACCAACAGTGACACCACCAACAGTGACATCACCAACAGTGACACCACCAACAGTGACACCACCAACAGTGACACCACCAAGAACTGGACGTCCCTCCAAAATTGATAAAAAGACGAGAAGAAAACTGGTCTGGGAGGCGGCCAAGAGGCCTACAGCAACATGAAAGGAGCTGCAAAAATATCTGGCAAGTCCTGGCTGTGTGGTCCATGTGACAACAATTTCCCGTGTTCTTCATATGTTGGGCTATGGGGGAGAGGGGAAGACGGAAACCTTTTCTTATGAAGAAAAACATCCAAGCCCGGCTAGAATTTGCAAAATCACATCTGAAGTCTCCCAAAAGCATGTTGGAAAATGTGTTCTGGTCTGATGGAACCAAGGTTGGACTTTTTGGCCAAAAATCTAAAAGATAGGTTTGGTGCAAAAACACTGCACATCACCAAAAGAACACCATACCCACCGTGAAGCATGGTGGTGGCAGCATCATGCTTTGGGGCTGTTTTTCTTCAGCTGGAACTGGGGCCTCAGTCAATGTAGAGGGAATTATGAAAGGTTGCAAATACCAGTCAATATCGGCACAAAACCTTCAGGCTTCATAAAGAGGAACTTCATCCATCAGCATGACAACCACCCAAAGCATCCATCCAAATCCACACAGGAATGGTGTCACCAGAAGAAGAGGAAAGTTTTGGAATGGCCCAGCTAGAGCCCAGACCTGAAGATCTGTGGGGTGACCTGAAGAGGACTGTACATAGGAGATGCCCTCGCCATCTGACAGATTTGGAGTGTTTTTGCAAGGAAGAGCGGGAAAATATTGCCAAGTCAGGATATGCCTTGCTGATAAGACTCCTCCCCAAAAAGACTGAGTGCTGGAATCACATCAAAAGGGGCTTCAAAGGATTAGTGTAAGGGTGTGAACACTTATGCAACCAAAGCGAAGAATGCTTTCGGTTATAGACCTTCCAAGCAGTGGACTTCTTGGCTGTTAGCATGTTGAAGATCACCGATCCAGACAGGCCTCGGTCATTTATAACCTGGGCTACAGCAGCCAAGCATCGATCATCAGGTAGGACGGTAAATCAGTTCTTGAGACGGAACAATCAAGAAGAGCCCAAGGAACATCTGCCAGAGGTCTGATCAAGTTGGAGAACCACATCTGCCTGGGCCAATCCAGAGCGATCAGAAACACAGGTATGCCCTCCATCTTAATCCGGTGAAGCAGAGGAAAAAGGAGTTTCACAAAAAAGAATGCCGTAGATCACATATGTCAAACACAAGGCCCGTGGCCTAATCCGGCCCACCAGGCCTGGTCATGTGGCCCTCACACTCAGTTTTGCAAATGGAACATGGCTAACTTCCCCCCCCCCCCCCCCCCGTCACTTGTAAACACAACTCTCAGTGTTTACATGGGACAGCTTTGCTTTCATTGGCCACCGGAATGAATGCGCCGTGAGCGCATGCACAGATCTCCAGAATCTGAAAGGAAGAACAATCTCCCTGCAAGGCAAAGCAGACTCACCTACACAGGGAGGTACTACAGCCGGGCCAGGTAGGAGAGATATGCAAGGAAGCTTTGGGGAAGGGGCAGAGGTCGGGGTTGCACATTGTGCGGAACACATCCCTGAACCCTGCACTCTCTACACAGCACGCCCCTGGACTCTACACTCTTTCCATAACGCACTCCTGAACCCTGCACTCTTTCCATAACGCACTCCTGAACCCTGCACTCTTTCCATAACGCACTCCTGAACCCTGCACTCTTTCCATAACGCACTCCTGAACCCTGCACGCTCTACATAACGCACTCCTGAACCCTGCACGCTCTACATAACGCACTCCTGAACCCTGCACGCTCTACATAACGCCCTCATGAACCCTGCACGCTCTACATAACGCCCTCATGAACCCTGCACGCTTTCCATAACGCACTCCTGAACCCTGCACGCTTTCCATAACGCACTCCTGAACCCTGCACTCTTTCCATAACGCCCTCATGAACCCTGCACTCTCTACATAATGCACTCCTGAACCCTGCACGCTCTACATAACGCCCTCATGAACCCTGCACGCTCTACATAACGCCCTCATGAACCCTGCACGCTTTCCATAACGCACTCCTGAACCCTGCACTCTTTCCATAACGCACTCCTGAACCCTGCACTCTTTCCATAACGCACTCCTGAACCCTGCACTCTTTCCATAACGCACTCCTGAACCCTGCACTCTTTCCATAACGCACTCCTGAACCCTGCACTCTTTCCATAACGCACTCCTGAACCCTGCATTCTCTACATAACGCACTCCTGAACCCTGCACTCTTTCCATAACGCACTCCTGAACCCTGCACTCTTTCCATAACGCACTCCTGAACCCTGCATTCTCTACATAACGCACTCCTGAACCCTGCATTCTTTCCATAACGCACTCCTGAACCCTGCACTCTTTCCATAACGCACTCCTGAACCCTGCACTCTTTCCATAACGCACTCCTGAACCCTGCACTCTCTACATAATGCACTCTTGAACCCTGCACTCTGCGTAGCGCACTCCTAAACCAGACTTTTCTCAGTAAAGCAGAGAAACAGAGTCCCTCCTCCTTAAGACACATGCTGGGAGTAGGAGGAGGTCATAATTGGCTCGTTAAAAATGTTTTGTTTGCCAGTATTCAAATCCTCCTGTAGGCGGCAGTATAACCTGACAGCCTCTGAAATCCTTTTTCTCTTAATGAACAAGAAAGAAATAGACATTTCTGTGTTCCCAGATGCAACGGCTTACAGTCAGCTGTGCGGATCACACAGATATTTCACTGAGCTAGTCTGGGGAGCAGACGCAATACATCCTGGATGAGGATGATGGACAGAAGTGGCTGTGAGGGACAGTTGGGAGACCAGTGGCTGGGGGACAAGACAGTTGGGAGACCAGTGGCTGGGGGACAAGACTATCAGGTGACAAGGCAGTAAGGAGACCAGTGGCCGGTGGACGAGGCAGTAGGGTGACCAGTGGCTGGGGGGCCAAGGCAGTAGGGTGACCAGTGGCCGGGGAGACGAGGCAGTCGGGTGACCAGTGGCAGGAAGGGACAGTTTGGGTGACTGGCGAAGGGAAGGGGTGACAACAGGGGTGACTAGTGACCGTCCATGCAAGCCTTTCTTACCATTATCCTGTCCAAGGATCAGCGAGTAGATGCTTCTTAAGCCAAAGACATTGAGGAAGTACCAGGAGGCGGAGCTCACCCTGTGAAAACAGGAGTCATACAGCAGCTGCCATCTTTTTTGAAGGTCAGTAAGCCTTTTCATACCCTTCACATATTACCTGTCTGATATCAAAGGTGAGCAGAGTGCAACAACCAATCAGAAATTGTCTTCTGGTTCTCTAAGTACTCTAGGCTCATGATAACTGAAATGTGAATGGCTGTCAAGAGTCCCTATTTACAGCAGGGGCCCTCCAAGGGACTGGAGATGGACCTTCACCCCTGTCAGGGGCTGTAGATGGTCCATTACCCATCCCAGGGACTGTAGATGGACCTTCACCCATCCCAGGGACTGTAGATGGACCTTCACCCATCCCAGGGACTGTAGATGGACCTTCACCCATCCCAGGGACTGTAGATGGACCTTCACCCATCCCAGGGACTGTAGATGGACCTTCACCCATCCCAGGGACTGTAGATGGACCTTCACCCATCCCAGGGACTGTAGATGGACCTTCACCCATCCCAGGGACTGTAGATGGTACTCTAACCTTCCCAGTATTTGTAGACCATACTGCAACTCTCCCAATATCTGCAAATAGAGCTCCACCCCACCCAAGAATACCTGCCCCAGAGCCTTCTCTCTATGTGGATTTCTCACAATTCTCTCTTCTTACCATGAGGCATCCAGAGAAAGAAGTTCGATTCCCTGCTGTAGCATCGGTTTGAAGCGCAGAGTCAGTGGAAACGGGACCTTTGCTGAAACACAAAGCAAGGAAACCATCAACAAGCACCATATCTCCAGTCATCACCCAACAACCACCATTATCACCCCCATGTCCCAGACTGTCAACATACAACTGCCATCTTCCCCCCATATCGCTGTCAAACAACCACCATCTCCCCCCCCATATCCTCAATCGTCATCGTAGACCTGCTGTAATCACCCCCACCCCCATATCCTCAACTGTCATCGTACAACCATCATCATCACCCCTACCATCATTGTACAATCATCATCATCCTCATCCCCCCATATCCCCTACAGTCATTGAACAACCCCCATATCTCCAACCATCATCATACAGCCACCATCATCATCCACATATTCCCAACCATCTTAAACAATCACCAACATCACCCCCAATCCCCATCCGTCACTATACAAATGCCATCACCACCCCCAATCCCCCAACATAACCCGCCAACCCAACCATCTTTGTACAACCACCAACATAACCCCCCAAACCCAACCATCATTGTACAACTGCAATAATAACCCCCCAAACCCAACCATCTTTGTACAACTGCAATAATAACCCCCCAATACCCAACCATCATTGTGCAACCACCAACATAAACCCCCCCCCCCCCCCAATCATCATTGTACAAATGGCATCATCCCCCAAACTCAACCTTCATTGTATAACTGCCAACATCACCCCCGAAACCCAACCATCATTGTACAACTGCAGTGATCAAATCCCAACCTTCATTGTATAACTGCCAACATCACCTTCGAAACCCAACCATCATTGTACAACTGCCAACACCACCCCCAATCCAAACCATCATTGTACAACTGCAGTCATCACCCCACCCCCGAATCTGCAACTATCATTGTACAACCACAATCATAACCCCCAATCTTCAACTATCCTTGTACAACCACAAACACCCTCCAATCCCTCCACAGTCATTGTACAACTCCTGACATCACTCCAATCCCTGTCATTGTACAATCACCATCATCACCCCAACCATCATTATACAACCGCCATCATTACCCCCAATCCCCCCACCATCATTGTACAACTGCCAACATCACCCCCAATCCCCCCACCGTCATAGTACAACTGCCAACATCACCCTCCAATCCCCATCAATTTGTACAACGGCCATCATCACTCCCAAAACCTCATCCATCATTGTACAACTGCCATCATCACTCCAATCCCCAACGGTCATTGTACAATCACCATCATTACCCCAACCATCATTATACAACCGCCATCATTACCCCCAATCCCCCCACCGTCATGGTACAACTGCCAACATCAGCCTCCAATCCCTATCCGTCATTGTACAACTGCCATCATCACTCCAATCCCCAACGGTCATTGTACAATCACCATCATTACCCCAACCATCATTATACAACCGCCATCATTACCCCCAATCCCCCCACCGTCATGGTACAACTGCCAACATCAGCCTCCAATCCCTATCCGTCATTGTACAACTGCCATCATCACTCCAATCCCCAACGGTCATTGTACAATCACCATCATTACCCCAACCATCATTTATACAACCGCCATCATTACCCCCAATCCCCCCACCGTCATGGTACAACTGCCAACATCAGCCTCCAATCCCTATCCGTCATTGTACAACTGCCAACATCAGCCTCCAATCCCTATCCGTCATTGTACAACTGCCATCATCATCCCCCAATCCTCCCACCATCATTGTACAACTGCCAACATCACCCTCCAATCCCCATCTGTCATAGTACAACTGCCAACATCACCCTCCAATCCCCATCTGTCATAGTACAACTGCCAACATCACCCTCCAATCCCCATCTGTCATAGTACAACTGCCAACATCACCCTCCAATCCCCATCTGTCATAGTACAACTGCCAACATCACACTTCAATCACCATCTGTCATAGTACAACTGCCAACAGTCATTATACGACTGCCAACATCACTCCCAAAACCTCAACCATCATTGTACAACTGGCAACATCACCCTCCAATCCCCAACCATCGTACAACTGCCAACATCATTACCAATCCCTCCACCATCATTGTACAACTGTAATCAAACCCCCCAAATTCCTCCACCATCATTATACAACTGCCACCATCACCCCGATCCCTTCACCGTCATTGTACAACCGCCATCATCACCCCCAATCCTTCCACCGTCATTGTACAATTGTCAACATCACCCCAATCCCTTCACCGTCATTGTACAACCGCCAACATCACCCCGATCCCTTCACCATCATTGTACACCCGCCATCATCACCCCCAATCCTTCCACCGTCATTGTACAACTGTCAACATCACCCCTAATCCCACCTCTTACTTGTCACAAACCCGGAGAAGGTCATGTTGATCCAGCCACCGATCAGGATCATGGGCAGCACATTGGTAACGTTCCCCTTCATCATGTCCGTCAGCATGGTCGGATCTGGAAGAGGAGTCACGTGGTTATCACTGGTTGGATCAGAGGGATGCACAACATACGCCTTGTCATCACAATCCGTACCTGTCATGGGAGAGGGCGGCACCACCTTCCTCTTCGTCTTCTTGAAGAAGCCGTCTTCTGCGTTATTGAAGTAAAATTTCCTCATGAGGAAGGACTGGAAATACAGAAGACGATGATTAGGTCTGGGTGGAGAAGAAAGTGAACCTCTAGAATCAAGCACTCCCATTGGATAGAATGCTGTGCTACCATTGGACAGTACACTGCAATACCATTGGCCCTTACCTGCTTCGGAATGTATTTCCCATTTTCTCTGAGGACTCTGCTGCGGATCAGAACCTGACTGGAAGAGAAGAGAGAGGACAACCATGAGAGGCGAGAGCAAGGAATTCTGGGCAGTATGATGGGGGAACTCCAAGACACGGGGAGCAGTATGATGGGGGGAACTCCAAGACACGGGGAGCAGTATGATGGGGGGAACTCCAGAGAGATATGGGGAGCAGTACGAAGGGGGAACTCCAGAGAGATATGGGGAGCAGTACGAAGGGGGAACTCCAGAGAGATATGGGGAGCAGTACGAAGGGGGAACTCCAGAGAGATATGGGGAGCAGTACGAAGGGGGAACTCCAGAGAGATATGGGGAGCAGCAAGAAGGGGGAACTCCAGAGAGATATGGGGAGCAGCAAGAAGGGGGAACTCCAGAGAGATATGGGGAGCAGTACAATGGGGGAGATATGGGGAGCAGTATAATGGAAGATCTAGGATAGATACAGGGAGCAGTATGATGAAGGAACTCTGAGGAGATATGGGGAGCAGTACGATGGGGAACACCAGGGGGATATGGGGAGCAGTACGATGGGGGAACACCAGGGGGATATGGGGAGCAGTACGATGGGGGAACACCAGGGGGATATGGGGAGCAGTACGATGGGGGAACACCAGGGGGATATGGGGAGCAGTACGATGGGGGAACACCAGGGGGATATGGGGAGCAGTACGATGGGGGAACACCAGGGGGATATGGGAGCAGTACGATGGGGGAACACCAGGGGGATATGGGGAGCAGTACGATGGGGGAACACCGGGGAGATATGGGGAGCAGTACGATGGGGGAACACCAGGGGGGGATATGGGGAGCAGTACGATGGGGGAACACCAGGGGGATATGGGGAGCAGTACGATGGGGGGAACACCTAGGGAGATATGGGGAGCAGTACGATGGGGGAACACCAGGGGGATATGGGGAGCAGTACGATGGGGGAACACCAGGGGGATATGGGGAGCAGTACGATGGGGGAACACCAGGGGGATATGGGGAGCAGGAGATACGATGGGGGAACACCAGGGGGATATGGGGAGCAGTACGATGGGGGAACACCAGGGGGATATGGGGAGCAGTACGATGGGGGAACACCAGGGGAGATATGGGGAGCAGTACGATGGGGGAACACCAGGGGGATATGGGGAGCAGTACGATGGGGGAACACCAGGGGGATATGGGGAGCAGTACGATGGGGGAACACCAGGGGGATATGGGGAGCAGTACGATGGGGGAACACCGGGGAGATATGGGGAGCAGTACAATGGAAGATCTAGGATAGATACAAGGAGCAGCATGAACCTGAGACATCCAATATTATGATGTAGTCTGGCCCACATGGCGCCCCCACCTGTCAGATACTTGTTCCTGCGTAAGTTTCTTGTCGCTCTGGAGAAGGATGGAGACGTAATGGCGGATCATCCCCACAAAGAAGGTGATGAAGACGATTGGCAGCACCACCCATAATCGGATATTGGAATCCAGGAGGAGCTCCGGCTCAGTCATGGTGATACGCTGGGATGGTAGAACACAAGAAATGTCACATATACATAGGAGGTCAAACTGTGGAGACGTACAGAGAATGGCCAGAAAAACAAAAACCTTGTGGAAGAAGGGGGCTCTGTGCCGCTAACACGGAGCTGTGAAGGGGGTGATCACAAACCACCAAAATCTGTGAGATCAGCCATGGCAGCCAGACACTCCAGGGGCCACAATGTGTGATGGGGGGGCCCATGTGCTGTGGGGTTTCTATTATTCCTTAATACACAAAGTATTGTAGCCACAGCTGAGCACATTTCACCCGAGGATGACAGCTGGGGTCGGATCTGCAAGTCCTGTTTGGCTCCACCCCCACTGCCCCACCCTTGAGGAGCAAATCTCCTCCTCCACAGAACATTGAAGAGCCCAACCGACCACCAGGGATAGGGATAACAGGGAAAGACACAGGAAATTAGTAAGGATGATGATGGATAAGGAGGATGTAGGTAAAAAAAAAAAAACGGTGATGATGATGGAGGGAGGTTGAAAATAGGGAGGATGGGGATGATAGGAGGAAGATGACGATGATAGGATGAAAGGAGGAGGAGGGAGAAGGGGATGAAAGCAGAGGGAGAAGGGGGATGAAAGCAGGAGGAGGGGGGGGGGAAGGAAGGAGGAGGAGGGGGGGGGGAAGGAGGAGGAGGAGGGGGGGAAGGAGGAGGAGGAGGAGGGGGGGGGGAAGGAAGGAGGAGGAGGAGGGGGGGAAGGGGAAGGAGGAGGGGAGGGGAAGGAGGGAGGGGAGGGGAAGGAGGAGGGGAGGGGAAGGAGGAGGAGGAGGGGGGGGGGGGGAAGGAGGAGGAGGAGGAGGGAGGGGGGGGGGAAGGAGGATGGATGCAAGGATGATTGAAGGAGGAGGAGGAGGATGACAGGGTGAGAAGGAAGAGGATGAGGGGAGGAGGATGATGTTGAAGACAACAGTAATGATGGGAAGGGATGGATAATGATGATGGGAAGAGGATGAAGATGGAGGATGTGATGATGATGATGAGTGTCTACAAACACAGTGAGATGACTGACAGAGGTTGTAGTTGGATAGAGGATGATGATGATTGGGGTCTCCTCTGTCTGGCTCCGCACACACAGTGATGATGATGATGGGAGGATGATGATGGGGGGGGGGGGTTCTCTCACATACATTGAGCCCGGGGGATGGGGATGACAGGACACGGATGAAGACATTTCCACTCACCGGATCCTCTCTCAGCCTCCTCAAGCCGGGCCCCTTGTTGGATTCGCAGCCGACACGCCGATTGACCGGCGTACTTTCTGCTGATTGGTAGCCGAGGTTGTCAATCGTCCGCTTTCCTAGAACAGCCTTTAGCAATACTAGGCAACCTAGCCAATCGCAGAGCAGACTCGCAGGAAGAGGCGGGCTCTCACTCTGCCGGGTACTCGTACGTCTCCATAGTGACTCCACCAAGGGCCGCCATGTTTGATTTGGGAAGAGTGCGATGAGAGTAGGTCCCAAGACTGGCAGGGACCATGTGACTTACATAGGCGGAGCTAAGTACCAGCAGGTGTGGTCAGACCTGATGTTGGAGGCGGGGCCTGTCATTGCAGAGGGGAGGTGTGTCCTGTGCCTCTCCCTCCTCCTTGCTGGGAGGACACTGAGGATGGAACATTGTCCTGATTCTATCGTCTACAATTCTCTATGAGGACGTCCCTGCTTGACAGCCATAGAATGAATACCCCATTGGAGTCTATCCCCCGCCCCCACCAGCCAATAGGAGGGTAGTGCTGCCTACTTGAGATCTGGCCAGAGAGTCTAGCCCCTCCCCCTCATGTGTCTTTTCTCCACTCCCTGCCCCCCTTCCAGCTCCTCTTCTCTGTACATTGTTTCCCCCTCCACATAATGGGACATTTCGTCCCCGCCCCGCCCCTGGGTGGTTCAGTCTCACTCTGCCTCTCATTATAGAATGCCATAATTTTTATTTCTAGAGTGGAGTTACCCTTAAAGTCCCTGGCAGGTCTTTCTAGCAGCTCCCCCTCCCCCACAGTCGGTGGTTCAGGCTCCTATTGTGCCTCACTCACCCCGATTAAGTTCTGTCTCCCTCTCTCTGCCTGGACATTCAACCCCCAGTCCATGGAAAAAGATGCCAGGATTTTAGGAGGGCCCCTGTGGGGGTGGGGAGGCTCCGGGGCTACACTACTGCATCCTGTCCAGTTGTCACACCCAACCACCGTCCCTGACGAGAGGAACATCAGGCTGTTACGCTAATGATATAACTTCTATACATTGACTTATCTACCAGTTGGCCTCCCTTATCTCCAGCCTGAGGCTCACCACCTCCCTTTTCATGTCTATCCCAAGGGGCCCACCACCTACCTTCTCTTCTCCAGTCCTGGGATGACCACTTTCCCTCTGTCTACTCTGAAGAAAATCACCTCCTCTTATCTTTCTCAGAGGCCTCAATACCCCCTCATTTCTACACGGGGGTCCACGGCCTTCCCTCTCATCTCTAGCCCAAGGACCACCCCTTCCATCCCACCAACTTTCCCCTTATCTCCCTCCTCAGACCCACCATATTCTGTCTCATGCCCAGCCCAGGGTTGACTGCCATTCCTTTCATGTCTAGCCCTCAGCATGTCACCTTCCCTCTCATCTCTATATAAGGGGCCCACCACCTACCTTCTCATCTCCAGTCCTAGGATGACCACTTTCCCTATAATGTCTACTCTGAAGAAAATCACCTCACCTCATCTTTCTCAGAGGCCCCAATACCCCCTCGGACCCACCATCTTCCTTCTCATCCCCAGCCCAGGGTTGACTGCCTTTCCATTCATGTCTAGCCCTTAGCATGTCACCTTCCCTTTCATCTCCTTCCCGAATTCATCACCTTCCCTCTCATCTCTATATGAAAGGCCCACAACCTTCCCACTCGTCTCCATTAAAAAAAAAAAAAAAAAAAAAAAAAAGGCTCACCACCTTCCTTATCTCTATATGAGAGGCCCACCATCTACCCTCTCATCTTGTTCCCTCTCATCTCTATGTGAAAGGCCCACAACCTTCCCTCTCGTCTCCATTAAGAAAAGGCTCACCATTTTCCTTCTCATCTCTATATGAGAGGCCCACCATCTACCCTCTCATCTCTGTATGAAAGGCCCACAACCTTCCCTCTCGTCTCCATTAAAAAAAAAGGCTCACCACTCTCCTTCTCATCTCTATATGAGAGGCCCACCATCTACCCTCTCATCTCTTTCCCAGCACTCATCTCCTTCCCTCTCATCTCTGTATGAAAGGCCCACAACCTTCCCTCTCGTCTCCATAAAAAAAAAAAGGCTCACCACTTTCCTTCTCATCTCTATATGAGAGGCCCACCATCTACCCTGTCATCTCTTTCCCAGCACTCATCTCCTTCCCTCTCCTCTCTATATAAAATGCCCACCACTTTCCCACTCATCGATAGCAAGGGCTTACTGCTTTCCCACTCATTTCCACTTAGGGGGCCACCTTCATTCCTCTCATCTTCTCGGGACCCATCTCCATCCCTGGGCCAACCCTCTTCCCTCATCTCCTTCCCAGAGCCCACCTCCTTCCAAATCATCTTAATACAGGGCCCACCTCCTTCCCTCACATCTTTATACAGTAGCACACCTCCTTCCTTCGCATCTCTTTCCCGGCACCCATCTCCTTCTTGGGGCTCACCTCCTTCCCTCTCATCTCTATAAAAAGACCCACAACCTTCCCTCTCATCGGCTCAGGGCTCACTGGCTTCCCACTCAACTGCAGGAGCCACCTTCTTTCCTCTCATCTCCTTCTTGGGGCCCATCTCCATCCCTCTCATCTTCTTCCCGGGGTCTACCTCCTTCCCTCTCATTTCCTTCAGTTCAGTACCCGCATGCAGAGCAGACTGATCCAAACAGGGACATCTATGCTGAGTAACCGTGTGTACTCTCCAGCGCTCCAGGAAATAAATTGCCAAAAGGAGGCCAAGGGAACCAGGACAGGAATGGCCTACAGAAAATGCTCCAGGGATGCAGCCCTCCTCAGACGGCGTAAATCAACCTCTGGGAAAAAGAGCAGACAGGTGGCGCAAACACAGAGTGCATTATCCAAGATTTATTAAACGATGCAAAAGACAAAAACATACAGACATAGCATGTATAAAAAGCTTTGCATAATGGAGATGGCCGCAACAACGGACAAGGTGTTCTAGTTGTCAGTGTGGTCAGGTGGCTGACGCGTTTCAGGGACATCTCTGCTGAGCTCATAGAGAGTTCATCAGCTCAGAACAAACAGCAAAGTGTCAGTTGTAGTCAATGGTAGATTGGCAACTATTCCTGTGTCAAAGTGCTTGATGATACAGAATCGGCAGTTGCAGCAGGTTCTCATTGTCATCCAGTACAGCCGCTAAGGATTGGGGCACAATAGTGAGCTGTGGCTGTCTAGACCAGCACTGAATTCAGCAAAAAAAAACCTGCCACAGTGATGAAATTATCAGAGACTACAACAGAGAGGAGATGAGTTATGGGGGAGTACAGCATGCACATATCTGTACATCATGGTGGGAATATTCCAGGTTTACTGGTCGAAGACTCCACAGGGCTTATAGGAGTCTTACACAGCTACCATCACCGTTGTACTGACATTCCTCTGTCTTCTCTGCAGATATTAGGATGGAGATGTACAAGCTCTGGTCACCCTCTTCCATCATCATTGTACTGACAATCCTCTCTGTCCCGATAGTAGAATGGAGATATACTGGCTCTGGTCGTTGTCTTCCATCACCATTGTACTGATATCCCTCTCTCTCTCCTGCAAACAGTGGGATAGAAATGTACCAGCTCTGGTCGTCGTCTTCCATCATTATTGTACTGACATAATTATTTATCTTCTGCTGACAGTAGGATGGAAACGTACCAGCTCCAGTTACCCTCTTCCATCATCATCACCGTACTGATAATCCTCTCTCTCTCTCCTGCAGAAAGTAGGATGGGGATGCACTGTCGTCCACCATCGTTGTGCTGACGTTACTCTCTCCTGCTGATGGTAGGGTGGAGATATACCAGCTCTGGTCGTTGTCCATCATCCTTGTACTGACATTCCTCTCTCTCTCCTACAAATAGTAAGATGGAGATATACCAGCTCTAGTTGCCATCTTCCATCACCATTGTACTGACATTCCTCTCTCGCCCCTGAAGATAGTGGGATGGAGATGCACCAGCTCTGGTCACTGTCTTCCATCACCATTTGCAGGTGGGAGATAGAGAAATGTCAGAAGATAGTGTGAAAGAGATGTACCACCTCTGGTCGTTGTCTTCCATCACCATTGTACTGACATTTCTCTCTGTCCTGCAAAAAATAAGATGGAGATGTACCAGCTCTGGTCACCATCTTTGATCACCATTGTACTAACATTGTTTTCTCTCCTGCAGATAGTGGGAGGGAGTTACACCAACTCTAGTTGCCATCTTCCATCACCATTGTACTGACATTCCCCTCCCTCTCTCTCCTGCAGATAGTGGGATGAAGATGTACCAGCTCTGGTCACCATCTTTGCAGCAGAGAAAAGAATGTTAGTACAATGGTGATCATAGTTGCCATCTTCCATCACCATTGTGCTGACATTCCTCTCTTGCCCCTGCAGATAGCAGGATGGAGATGTATGAGCTCTGATCGTTCTTTTCCACCATCATTATACTGATATTTCTCTCTCTCACCTGCTAATAGGATGGAGATGTACCAACTCTGGTCAACTTCTTCCATTATCATTGTAATAACATTCTTTTCTCCCGCAGATAGTGCGATGGAGTTGTATGAGCTCTGGTCACCTTCTTCCATCACCATTGTACAGACGTTCCTCTTTTTTTTTCCTACAGATAGTAGCGTGGAGATGTTCCAGTTCTAGGCACCATCATTTATCACCATTGTACTGACGTTCCTCTCGTACTGCAGATAGTGGAATGGGAAGTACCAGCTCTGGTTGCCATCTTCCATTCTGCTGACATTTCTCGCTCTCCTGCAGGGAGTAGAATGAGGATGTACCAGCTCTAGTCACCTAATCGCATCACCATTGTACTGACGTTGCTCTCTCTCCTGCAGATAGTATGGTGGAGATGTACCAGCTCTGGTCACCATCTTTGATCACCATTGTACTAACATTGTTTTCTCTCCTGCAGATAGTGGGAGGGAGTTACACCAACTCTAGTTGCCATCTTCCATCACCATTGTACTGACATTTCTCTCTGTCCTGCAAAAAATGAGATGGAGATGTACCAGCTCTGGTCACCATCTTTGATCACCATTGTACTAACATTGTTTTCTCTCCTGCAGATAGTGGGAGGGAGTTACACCAACTCTAGTTGCCATCTTCCATCACCATTGTACTGACATTCCCCTCCCTCTCTCTCCTGCAGATAGTGGGATGAAGATGTACC